GGACACTTACACTCTTCCAAGACTAAACCAGGAAGAAGTTGAATCCCTGAATAGACCAATAGCAGGGCTCTGAAATTGAGGCAATAATTAATAGCCTACCAACCAAAAAGTCCAGGACCAGATGGATTCACAGCTGAATTCTACCAGAGGTACAAGGAGGAGTTGGTACCATTCCTTCTGAAACTATTCCAATCAATAGAAAAAGGGAATCCTTCCTAACTCATTTTATGAGGCTAACATCATCCTGATACCAAAGCCTGGCAGAGACACAACAAAGAGAATTTTAGACCACATCCTGATGTATAAACATCGATGCAAAAATCTTCAATAAAATACTGGCAAACCGGATTCAGCAACACATCAAAAGCTTATCCACCATGATCAAGTGGGCTTCATCCCTGGGATGCAAGGCTGGTTCAACATTCGCAAATCAATAAACATAATCCAGCATATAAACAGAACCAAAGACAAGAACCACATCATTATCTCAATAGATGCAGAAAGGCTTTTGACAAAATTCAACAGCCTCATGCTAAAAACGCTCAATAAATCTAGTATTGATGGAACGTACCTCAAAATCATAAGAGCTATTTATGACAAACCCACAGCCAATATCATACTGAATGGGCAAAAACTGGAAAAATTCCCTTGAAAACTGGCAATAAGACAGATGCCCTCTCTCACCTCACTCCTATTCAACATAGTGTTGAAGTTCTGGCTAGGCAACTGTGCAAGAGAAAGAAATCAAGGGGATTCAGTTAGGAAAAGAAGTCAAACTGTCCCTGTTTGCAGATGACATGATTGTATATTTAGAAACCCCATTGTCTCAGCCCAAAATCTCTGCTTGATCAGCAACTTCAGCAAAGTCTCAGGATACAAAATTAATGTGCAAAAACCACAAGCATTCTTATACACCAGTAACAGACAAACAGAGAGCCAAATCAGAATGAACTTCCATTCACAATTGCTTCTAAAGAGAAATAAAATACCTAGGAATCCAACTTGCAAAGGATGTAAAGGACCTCTTCAAGGAGAACTACAAACCACTGCTCAGTGAAATCAAAGAGGACACAAACAAATGGAAGCACATACCATGCTCATGGATAGGAAGAATCAATATTGTGAAAATGGCCATACTGCCCAAGGTAATTTATAGATCCAATGCCATCCCCATCAAGCTGCCAATGAGTTTCTTCACAGAATTGGAAAAAACTGCTTTAAAGTTCATATGGAACCAAAAAAGAGCCTACATCTCCAAGACAATCCTAAGTCAAAAGAACAAAGCTGGAGGCATCACGCTACCTGACTTCAAACTATACTACAAGGCTACAGTAACCAAAACAGCATGGTACTGGTACCAAACAGAGATATAGACCAATGAACAGAACAGAGTCCTCAGAAATAATACCACACATCTACAGCCATCTGATCTTGGACAAACCTGAGAGAAACAAGAAATGGGGAAAGGATTCCCTATTTAATAAATGGTGCTGGGAAAATTGGCTAGCCATAAGTAGAAAGCTGAAACTGATCCCTTCTTACCTCTTATACGAAAATTAATTCAAGATGGATTAGAGACTTAAATGTTAGACCTAATACCATAAAAATCCTAGAGGAAAACCTAGTAGTACCATTCAGGACATAGGCATGGGCAAAGACTCCCATGTCTAAAACACCAAAGTAACTGCAGAAAGCCAAAATTGTCAAATGGGATCTCATTAAACTAAAGAGCTTCTGCACAGCAAAAGAAACTTAATAATGAGCTAGAACAGGCAACCTACAGAATGGGAGAAAATTTTGCAATCTACTCATCTGACAAAGGGCTAATATCCAGAACCTACAAAGAACTCAAACAAATTTACAAGAAAAAACAAACAATCCCATCAAAAAAGTGGGCAAAGGATATGAACAGACATTTCTCAAAAGAAGACATTCATACAGCCAACAGACACATGAAAAATGTTCATCATCACTGGCCATCAGAGAAATGCAAATCAAAACCAATGAGATACCATCTCACACCAGTTAGAATGGCGATCATTCAAAAGTCAGGAACAACAGGTGCTGGAGAGGATGTGGAGAAATAGGAACACTTTACACTGTGGGTGGGATTGGTAAACTAGTTCAACCATTATGGAAAACAGTATGGCGATCCTCAAGGATCTAGAACCAGATGTACCATATGACCCAGCCATCCCATTACTGGGTATATACCCAAAGGATTATAAATTATGCTGCTATAAAGACACATGCACACGCATGTTTATTGCAGCACTATTCACAATAGCAAAGACTTGGAATCAACCCAAATGTCCATCAGTGACAGATTGGATTAAGAAAATGTGGCACATATACACCATGGAATACTATGCAGCCATAAAAAAGGATGAGTTTGTGTCCTTTGTAGGGACATGGATGCAGCTGGAAACCATCATTCTTAGCAAACTATCACAAGAACAGAAAACCAAACACCGCATGTTCTCACTCATAGGTGGGAACTGAACAATGAGATCACTTGGACTCGGGAAGGGGAACATCACACACCGGGGCCTATCATGGGGAGGGGGGAGGGGGGAGGGATTGCATTGGGAGTTATACCTGATGTAAATGACGAGTTGATGGGTGCAGGACACCAACATGGCACAAGTATACATATGTAACAAACCTGCACGTTGTGCACATGTACCCTACAACTTAAAGTATAATAATAATAAATAAATTAAAAATAAAAATAAAAATAAAAGAAGTTGCAGAAATTAAAATAAAAAATAAAAAAAAGAAAATAAGTACTGATACATGCTACAACACAGATGAGATCTGACATGTTAAGAAGCCAGTCACAAAATACCACATATTGTATAACTCCAGTATATAAAATGTACAAAATAAGCAAATCTATTTTTACAGAAAGATTCATGATTGCTCGTAGCAGCAGGGGATGAGGAGGTTGGTGGGAAATGGGTACAGAGATTCTTTTGGCGATGATGAAGACGTTGTAATAGCTTTTGAATTTTACAATCCAAAATTCTATTCTCTGCTAATTAGTCAAATAATGAGCAAAAAATACACATTTTAAAACACAAAGATGCAGACATTACATTCCACATACAAGAGGATGTACCCCAGCAAAACAAGGTGATAAACCAAGAAAGAGAAAGAATGGGATGGAGGAACAACAGCTTCAACCCAGGATAACAACAAAGGGAACTACTCCAGTGTTAACAGGTGGGCAGCCAGAGAGACAGCATGTAGTCCTCATTGAAGCAGAAAGACAGGGTTCTGAGACAGAGGTCTCCAGGAAAAAAAAACAAATACAACTTACTGGATAAACAAGTCTTTAGTTTAAAAAACAACAAAAAATTGTATATACATATACATAAAATCAGGTAGTATAAGGAAAAACAGAACTCCACAGATTCCTGGGTCACAGAAGGGGAAAGGCCTATTCAAGAAAGTAAAATTGAACTAACTGAAAATACAGCTATCTTTATATTGGAAGGACAGTCAAGAAGTCAACAGATAAGGCCTAAACTGGATACAGCAGAAAACAGCGGACTAAAGACATTATTAAGAAATATGGAACACTACCAAAAGAAATAGCAAAACCAATGAAAAGTGACTGTTTTTCATAAGTGAACCCGTGGTGAGGCAGGGGAAGAGAAGGGGTTATTTTTTCCCTCATTATATATCTTTAAGAACTACTTGCCGAAAATATTGGGCACATATTAATTTGATAAAAGCAAAAAACTTTTTCTTTATTTCACAATTGCAGCTTTAACATACTTTGATTACAGTGAAGTTTTTGTTTTGTTAATCACTTTACTAGGATTTGTCTAAATTTAGTGTTTTACAATGCCTACAGTAGAATCAGACTTACTCTGAAGGAATTACAAGCAGCACATGGGGGCAATGACAAGGCTATTTCCCTAACTTTTAAGAATTTTAGCAATAAGAGTACTCACTGAGAATTAAACCCAAAATATACTGGACAAAACCAGAGAAACTCTAAAATTCAATTAAAAGAGATGGGGTTAAAGTTAGGCTAGGATTTGACTCAAAATAGCTTGAAGGCATTAATATACCTAAAGGAATGCCGTATTAAAAGGGGGCTGGGTCAGAAATAGAAGCATAGCAAAGGGAATTAAGAAAGCAACGTTAGCTTATCTCCTGCTTTCTTCAAGGGAGAGAACATCTAAGTTCACAAGTAAAGATTCATGTATTTCAAAAACAAAGACAAATGTATAATAGTCCCCACAGTTATAGACAAATGTGTATTAGTCACTACAGTAAGTCACTAACATCATCCAATTCCTTGATCTAACTCCATTCTCATCAAGCATACTTCTGACATTGATTATTAAACTTTCTATGTAAATATGCAAATAGAGAAATGAATGCAAAGACCATAAAATGAGTGTTTGATTCACTTAATGGTTATACTTGTCATCAGTATTATTTTATTCTATATATCAGACTTTGTAACCTTAATTAATGCTGCCTGCAGTAAAAGATGAATCACTCTTGATGTGCTATCAAAAATCAGGTTTATGATCTTGCACGACTGAGAGCTACAAGCCAGGCCACGTAAATTCATACAGCTGTTGCCACACTGGCTACGTCTGAGGGTCAGAAGCTTTCCCCTTTTCTTTACACTAAAATGGCTGAAAAATCCAACTTTTTAGATAGACATCAGTACAAGAAAATCCTAAATGCCTATCTTGCCACAATTCTTAAATACAGGCATTTAATTCTAAGATTTCCGAACTGAACAGTTCAGAGAAGCACTTGCCACCAGACAGCAAGCCAACAGCACTGCAGCACTATTTCACAACAGCTATAGAATTACTAAATTTTTCAATGTCTTTTACTTGTTCATTTTCACTGCAATAAAGAAAACTTATTTGGGAATAGCAATAATTAACGATAATAATCCCCCTCTCCTCCATATGCCCATACTCTTTCCTGCCAATTGCATAGCAAGGAAAACACAGAAAACTTACATGGCACCGTAGTTCCAAATCTAGTGGGATTCAATACTATAAACCTGTTTTTCAAGCTTCTTCGGCCTACACCTTGAGCTCCTATCAATACTAATGTTTTTCTCTGGAAGGGAGGCATTTTGGCTACCTCCTCATATATCTGGATTTCGTGACGATCAAATTCTAAATGAAAAAGCAAATAGGAATATATATTTAGTCATCTTTTATATACATGAAAGAAATCTCTGCAATTCTGTCTAGTAATGGCTTAGCTGTCTTGATAGTTAAATATCACTTGATTTGTACCCACTTAGCATAGATTTGTTTTTACAAATTTGGTAAAGTACAATAAACAATAATTATTTTATTATTGTTTTTAAGACCAGGGCTCACTGTCACCCAGGGTAGAATATAGTGTTGCAATCTTAGCTCACCGTACCCTTGAACTCCTGGGCTGAAGGAAGTCTCCCAAGTAGATGAAACCACAGGCATGGGCCACCATACCCAGCTAATTTTTAATTTCTTTTGTAGAGATGGGATCTTGGTATGTTGCCCGGGCTGGTCTCAAACTACTGGCCTCAAGTGATCCTCCTGCCTCAGCCTCTCAAAGTGCTGGGATTGTAGGCATGAGCCACTGTGCCTGGCCCAGTAAATTATTTTATATCTTGCTTTAAACACCTGGTCCATCCATTTGCCCTTAAAAATTTGTCTAATCGGGCCGGGCATGGTGGCTCATGTCTGTAATCCCAGCACTTTTGGAGGTCGAGGTGGTGGGATCACGAGGTCAGGACATCGAGACCATCCTGGCCAACATGGTGAAACCCTGTCTCTACTAAAAAAATACAAAAAATTAGCTGGGCATGGTGGTGCGCACCTGTAGTCCCAGCTACTCGAGAGGCTGAGGTAGGAGAATCACTTGAACCCAGGAAGTGGAGACTGCAGTAAACTGAGATTATGCCACTGCACTCCAGCCTGGTGACAGAGCGAGACTCTGTCTCAAAAAAAAAAAAAAAAAAAGAAAAAATTAGTCTGATTAATCAAGCTAGAAAAATTCTATGTTTTATCCTTATTTATCAGAGATTCTATCCACTAAAATCTACTATCGATTTGTCAGTAGAAATCCTTTAATATAAATAATCAAATTACAGACCAGTTTATATAGAAAGTATGTATCAAATACAGAGGACAGGAGCAAACCTAGTGTGGTTGCTTAAGTTCCATGGAACGAGTGACCTTCCAATTATATAAATGAATATTGTATGGCAAATCTACAATTATCAGTTTGATTAGAAAATTCAACATACTGACATTTACTGACAACATACATTTAAATATTAAGATTTTGAAATTTACATATAAAACAAATTTTAGATCCACTGTTTTCACTAGAAACATAATCCAAAAGTATAATCATAGTGGGCAAATTACTAATTTTCTATTTTGCAAAAAAGCCTTATGGGCATATATTTCATGAATAATAGGGCCAAAGTGATGATCTGAAATATTATATTACTTGTTGTTACTGTAACTCTCAATCTGTAGTAATAACACTCCTTCCTTAGCTTATTATCCTAATAGCAACTCCTTCTTTGCACAATTTCCCCACAGTAGATTAAACCAATATTAAGAGAAAACAAGCCTACTTCTGCCTTCTATATTATTTTCTTTTAGGGTGTGCTGTTTACTTTATTACCAGCATACAGGTAGCTCTGAAGTCAAGAAAGTACTTTTAAAATTGCCAACTGCTTTGATTAAGCCTCCAGAAATTTCTGATTCATAGAGCTGCTTTTTACTCCTGTCATCCTCTGCAACTGGGAAGAATAAATATAGTAGTTTCCATTCTTTCCCTTCCTTCCTTCCTTTTTATTTATTTATTTTTAACTTCAAATGAGTAGCCAATACAGGTCTGGGGTTTTATTCTAAATTATTTTTAAAAATCCTTTCAGCTCTACTGAGGTATAACTGACAAATAGGAATTGTATATGAAGTGTACAACTTGATGTTTTCACGAATGTGTACACTGTGAATGATTACCTCAATCAAGCTATTAAACATATCCATCATCTCACACAGTTACCATATCTTTCTTTTTAAAAATATTTCTTTCTGCATGACTAAAAGATTTAAGAAGGAATTCTATTATATCAGACCAAGATTCATGTGGTCCAGTGCTATTTTTCTAAAAGTACCATGGTCAGTGTTATAGCAGGATACAGTTGCCCTTAAACATAACTCTTAACATCTTGACAAAGGCATTCTACCCTTTAGAAATGGCACATAAATTACTATTTCAAAATTCTCTGGACAAATAGTTTCAATTATAATACTGCTTCTTCATTAAGATAAGTAAAAATCCTAACCAATTTGTTTTGTTATAAACTATACTCACAAAATAAAGCACATTGTAGTATATATAATGCCAGGATTTAAATAATTTATATTATATTGCACCATGTGTTCATATGCCAGTCCCTTGCAACTAGGTACTAATCTGAATTACATTCACTTAAAGCTGTATATTCAGAGTTTATGCCACACTAAATGACATATAGCTACTTCACTTGGACTTCTCAAAAAATATTTAAAACCTACCTGCATTTCTGGTTGTGAGATACATCATCTTCTTCTTTTTTTTGCTACTTATAGTTCCACAAAAAGGTCCTGAAGGATGATAAAACAAATATAACTTAAGTAGTATGTCAGAACATGAAAAAATTGCCCTGTAGTATTTTATAGGGGTGGGAGAATTATCTTCCCAATGTTGCATCCTAGGAAGCAAAAGAGGGTGGGGGTGAGTTAAGCCACTGAATTTTGATACTCTACCAGCAGGTGGCAGAACGGGATCAAAAAGATTACTTATGAGAGCTAAAGCAGAGGGAGGGATTCATTCTAGACATATTTTAAATAAATGCATTTGCTTATTTAGACAAAAGAGACAAAGAAAGGTGGTCACAAAGGACTGCTTGTTACTTATTTTGTCGAGCTCATCACCTGAATTGTCCCAGTCTCTTCTAACAAATGCCTTTCTCTTCTCTTCCAGGAACTGGCTTGGAATGAGACCAGCGCTTCCTCCCTCTTTTACATGGCTAGCCTAGAATCAAATTAACGAATTGTATATCTCAGTGACCAAAATTTGAGACCATATTCTATTAAGTAGGACAAGCAGTGGTCAGTTAAAAAAAAAGTCATATTTGCTTTTAAAAACAACCTTGAGATTTACATCCATAGCATTGTCAGTTAAGATACTTAAACAATTCAGCACTGAGGAATCAATTGGCACCTAAAATTCTTCATATCTGATATCTGGTAGTGAAATTTGGGGACCAAAATACAAGTTAAATTGCTTAAACTTATTTATAATACTAAGTTGGAAAAGGAAAATAAACGCTATTCTATAATAAGATGTATTAACACGACATTTTATCTAGCACCCTTTAAAAGACATTTACTGTCAACCTTAATCCTACTACGTTGGTATTTCAGGCCAAGTCAAATGAAAAAGATACTATTTGGAATATAAAGTGTAGATTTTAATCTATGCTACCAGGAGTATGAATATCCCAAGAGTTTGTAAATTTAAACTAGGCAAAACTTTACCTAACGTGAAATAGCTAACTTTTAAAATAAGCTCCAAAGAAATATTTTAAAACAGTGGCTGGAGAACTGGCTGTTAGTGATGTAGCTCACAAAGTTAGTATTTCTAACCTTACAACTAGCATAGAAAATCTAGTATAACTTTTAGCAATTAAAATCCTGAAAAACAGAATTAAAGTAACCAACCATCAAAATGCAGGGAGAAATTGAGAGAAGAATTGAGGTTAGAAGAGAAAACTAAGAGATTGCATTCATAGGAAAAAGAAAAAAGAAGGAAAACTAGAATAATTCAATAAAGGACACAGCCACAGAGAGATTTTTTAAATGAGGGATCTAAAAAGTTCAGGGGAAACCTCTTGAAATCATAGATTCTGTTTAATTTACCCATTTCTTAGCTGTCTCAACACACAGTGCACCTATACGTAATAATGTCTTAATTTAAATTTAAGGACACATTAGTAAGATTGCTCTCATTCTGTGATTTGTTTCTCCTTAGAAGTAGATCTATATTTTAGAGCTAATGTGAGTTACCAATATCTCAGTTAATTTTAGAATTTGGTGCTAAATCCTGGATCCTTTCCTCTTACTCCTTGTTCTTTAGTAAAACTCTCATTTGCTTTGATAGTTTAAGGCATTTCAGACTTCCTGTCAGTTTCTCCAGTTCTGAATACTGTGGTTGTTAGCTAATATAAACAATTACAAAAACAGACTTATTACTGCTGCTAGGGGTTTCTGAAAGCTACATTAGGAGAAGAAAAAAGAATACCATTAAACAGATCTTCTGAAAAAAGGAGGGAAAAATGCAGTGATAATACACATCTCTTTCCATATACACAGATTTTAATCCAAAACCTAACAAAACTGATAGAGTGAACCTCCATTTCCCAGTATCTGAGAAGAGGTGAGCAAATAGACATTAAGACCTTAAGAAATTATGCTTTACTTGCTATGAACGAACATGAGGAAGAGGAGACAAGAGAAAGACCTACTTCATAGTAAAAGACTCCTACTTAAAATAAACAAAACCCAAATATCTTTTTAAAAGGGATGACCCAAGTGAGTTCTTCTTGGTCAATAGCATATTTTAATGCAATTACCCATGTGAAAAAAACCAATTGGTCTATTCCCTAAACCAACTGGTTAGTGCCACAGGCTGGTTAATTCTGTACTTATTAAGAGCTACTTGCAAATTCCCTTCCAACTTGATCTTATGTCCACAAAATTAGTAGCCATGAAGCAGGAGATGTTCATGTGGGAAAAATCATTGTAACAAATGCTAATATTCTTCCTGAATATTCAGATATTAACCAGATCTAAGATTAAAATTAGAAAAGTCGTTGAGGAACTTCTGAGAAGCATACTAACCTGCCACCAATTTGGATCTTCTCTATTTACAATCTGAAGAATTTCTCCTTTGGAAAACTTCAATCCTGCTTCTTTGCAAGGTATTAGGTTATCATTATATGGATTATAATCAAAATGACACTTCACAAATACCTAAAACACACAGCACAATTAAAAATACTACAGTTATATCACTTCCACTGAATTTAAAAAATTCTTGTCAAACCACTGATTTAATTGTAACTGAAAATGTATTTAGTACTTCAGATAATGAACTTGTCTCTCATAAATGGAAATCAAGTTATTAGAATATTAACAGATTTTGGTATCAAAGATAATAAAACTTCATCTCTAATATCTAACTTTAAATCATCAAGAGTTTGATAATCATTCTATCCCACCATTCTTCCACTTTCCTTCAATCTTTTCACTTGATTTTCCAACCAACACTGCATAATTCTTAAAGCAAGCAAATGCTATGATCCAATTAACATCCTGAAATAATATAGGTAGTTGATTTAAGGTTTATATTTCAGATGTATTAGAACTTTGTGAAAAGGCCCTGAAACCAAAATTAAACAATGAAAGTTCATGTCGAAGTCAGATATGAAATATATTTGGTAGTCTTTAAATACTTTTCTTGAATCATCTTGCTCTGATTTATATGCTCATCTTAAATTTAAATGATCAACATTAAATTCATTGTAAGACAAATACTGAAAAAGTCTTGAAACTATTTTCCATTTTAAATTCATTTGTGTACATACATTTCTTTCACATTTGCTTTATTAATAAAAGTATGTCAGTTAACACTGTTAGTTATGATCTCCAAAATTGGGACTATTTGGCTTATTTGCTGTAATTTAAATTCTAATTAAATTATGCATTTTTGGTATTTGATGGAAAGTTCAGACCAATTGCTTTCTTTTTTCTTTTTTCAGATAGAGTCTCACTCTTTTACCCAGGCTGGAGTGCAGTGGCGTGATCTCTGCTCACTGCAACCTCTGTCTCCCAGGTTCAAGTGATTCTCCTGCCTCAGCCTCCCAAATAGCTGAAATTACAGGCATGTGCCACCACGCCTGGCTAATTTTTGTATTTTTAGTAGAGATCAGGTTTCACCATGTTGGCCAGGATGGTCTCAAATTCCTGATCTCAAGCGATCTGCCCTCCTCGGCCTCCCAAAGTATGAGGATTACAGGCATAAGCCACTGTGCCCAGCCCAATTGCTTTCTTAAAACAGACTTGTTTTATACATATTTATAGAAATTCAAATGTTATCTTCTAAAGAACTGCCTTAGCATTAATCAGCATGTAAACTGTAGCAAGAAAGCACACAATTAGTCAAAATAACAATGTTCTTTTTCTATTTGTTTATCATACTTCTGTAACCAAACAAAATTCAAATAACACAAGTAGACATATTATATTATTAGTGTGGTAAAAGTACTGTGATCAATGCATACAAAATAATTTTAAAATAACTAAATCTGGGAACATGTAATAAAATCTTAGTTATGTATAATTAGATGATTTTCACGGAAAGCATTCAGAACATTTTCAACTACTCTAGAAAAGCTAAATATTAATCCTTAAATCAGTAAGTCAATAATTTTTTCCCTGATATATAGTTTTAGATCTAAAAAGCAAGCATACAAACATTAAAATTGCTAAAGTGTGACAATTGGCTAACTTGATAATGTCATGCAGCTCCATGTTTTGACAACAGGAAAAAACCAAAATAATTAAATTTAATCAAAGAAAATTTAGTTGGCTGATAAGACAGAAAAATGAAGTACCAGAGAATGTTCTGGAATGACAGCATACCTGATGGATGTGTGCTGGATGCCTCTCCATACTGATGCAACTCTAAAAATATATTTGTAATTGCATAAATAAAGCCAGACTTTTAATTTATAATAAATTAAGAAAATATAAACAAACTACTAGACCATTTTATTACTTCACTCATTTGGTAAGGCAACTACCTCCCTAATTAACTGTCCACAAAGTATAATACCTGCAAGTTACAAATGATAGAACAAAAAGTTAAAGGTATTTGACATCAGGCAGAAAGAAAGGATTGGTATGCAAAGTTATAAAAATACCTGCATACTCCTTACTTCTCAAGAAAGATGCAATGATTGAAGAATAGCAAGAGAATCCTGTTATCTAACCACGAATGTGATTGCCATTCTTATGTGTGGAACAGAATATATTTTGTAACCATAAAGCTCAGACTTTACAAGATAGTCCAAATTTCAAATATTCATTCCTCCAACATCCATGGAATTGTTATGGACATGCCATTATTTGTGGAATACAAACCACATCTCTCAAAGGTAAAAGATCTCTAGAATAATTTCTAATTTTTTTTTCATTTATTAAAGTAGTTTTAGAACATTAGTCTTAAGGTCAAAAACTCTGACTATTAACCTGATTTTACTTTGAACTTCGAAAATTTTTCTGAAAAATCAATTAACCCAACCTTTGATCTAACCATTTTGTAATGACTCTAAAACCATTAAAGATATGACTAGACTTAGTATAATTATATTTTATTAAATGCAATTTAAAGTGTTGCACTTATAGGCTATGGATGTTAACTGCTCATTCATCATTAAGAAATGACTAAACACCACCTACTAAAATATCTATTTCATATTCTTATTACTAAAAACAACTGAATGACCAAAACAATTTAAAGTACAAGGAAAAGGAAGTACAAATGGCTTTTAAGCATAAGAGATGTTCAACAACCTCATTCAGAGTAGAAATACAAATTAAAACTACTTTATTAACACTTTTTTCCTATCAGATTAGCAGAAATCCTTGTATTTTATAACCTTCTATAAAAGAACTGTAGGTTAATAGGCATTTTCTTTCTAAAAGGCTTGTGGAAGAATGGTTCAACCTCTTGGGAGGCCAATTTGACAATAGCTATCAAGATTACAAATGCATAAACCCTCTGACCTAGTAATCCATGTCTGAGAATGTATTCAACAGCTATGTTATGCAGATACATCCAAAATGACTTATGCACAAGACTACATTATTCCTAACAGCAAAAGATTGGAAGCAACCTACTTGTTTAACAAAAAGGAACTCGTTAAACAAATGACGGTATGTCTACATGATGTGGCACTATATTTAGTCGTTAAAAAAGTGTGTGTAGGTGGTGTGTGTCAACAGGAAGTGTATGCACCAATAAGGAAATATCCTCAAGATAGACAGTTAAGTAAAAAAAATAAGGTTCAGGATAGCATGTATACTATGCAACCTTTCTATGAAAAAGGAGGTGGAAGGTGAAAAAGGATATGTAATTTTTATTTACTCGCATATGAATGAAGAAATTCTGGAAAGATAAACTAATAGCATAGTTTGTACTGGTGGGGGGATGAGGACTAGGTTGGTAGTGGGAAGGATTCAGAGGGAGATCTCAACTGAATACATATTTACATTTTTTGATTTTCAAACCATGAGGAATGATTCACCTATACAAAAATTAAATTTTTAAGGTAATAAGGATAAATGACTCCCATTTGGATTCAGATGAAGTAACAAGGACCCTCCAACTTGAAACAACTAAAAACTATGTTGATAAAATATGTGAAACAATGTCTTTCAAGATGTCAGAGATCAGGCAATGAAGACAGTGATCCCAAAAGATGGGAAGAAACAAGATGAGCTACACAACTGCCCCAGCTAACAGGACAGAGAGTTTCCAGGCTGCAACTCAGAAAGGGAGAAAGGTGAAGCCTGATGGTCTCCAAGTTCAGGAGATGAACTGGGAGACCTGGGAGATCAAGGTGGTTACAGTGCATGGAACACAGTATCAGTGAGGAAAGACTTCAGAGACAATTGTGAGAGACTCCTTCTGTTTTCAGCTGAGTACTTAATCAATGCACGTGTATGAGGAAGCTACCTGCACCCTCTCTCTGTGTAACTCTTTCCTCAATGATGGTAAAGAATCATTTGAAAGCATTACAGGGAACAATATAGGGAAGCTGTATACGGTTAAGAATAGTTTCTGTTCTCACCAGGCCAGGTGGAAAAACCTTCATAATTCACAGGCCGTGAATACTGAGAAGGGTTATGAGCTAAACTACATCCTGCAATCATATCTAATAAATCTTAAAAAGCAAGATTTAAAAGAATCATTTGTATCCTAGAACAAAGGTTAAGAATGGTTATTACTAAAATGTTAAAAAATAACACGTTGGCAAAGTTGCAGAGAAAAGGGAACTGCTAGTGGAAATGTAAATTAGTTCAGCCACTGTGAAAAGCATTTTGGAGATTTCTCAAAGAACTTAAAACAGAACTACCATTTGACCCAGCAATTCCATTACCGGGTATATACCCAAAGGAATATATATCATTCTACCATAAAGACACATGTACACATATGTTCATCATAGCACTTTTCACAACAGCAAAGATATTGAATCAACCTAGATGCCCAATAATGGTGGACTGTATAAAGAAATTTTGGCATATATACATCATGGAATACTATGCAGCCATAAACAGAATAAAATCATGTCCTTTGAGCAACATGTACATAGCTGGAGGCCATTATCTTAAGCCAATTAATGCAGGAACAGAAAACCAGATTACTACATGTTCTCACTTGTAAGTGGGTGCTAAACATTGAGTATATATCGACACAAAGAGGGGAACAACAGACTCTGAGGCTTACTTGAAGGCAGATGATAAGAGGAGGGTGAGGACTGAAAAACTACCTATCAGGTATCATGCTCACTACCTGGGTGACAAAATCATTTGTACACTACACTCCAGAAACATGTAATTTATCCATGTAACAGACCTGTACACACACCTCTTGAGCCTAAAAGTTGGAAGGGCCGGGAGCAGTGGCTCATGCCTGTAATCCCAGCACTTTGGGAGGCTGACATAGATGGATCATGAGGTTAAGAGATCGAGACCATCCTGGCCAACATGATGAAACCCTATCTTTACTAAAAATAAAAAAATTAGCTGGGCCTGGTGGCACGTGCCTGTAGTCCCAGCTACTTGGGAGGCTGAGGCAGGAGAATCGCTTGTACCCAGGAGGTAGAGGTTGCAGTGAGCCGAGATTGCGCCACTGTACTCCAGCCTGGTGACAGAGTGAGACTCAAAAAAAAAAAAAAAAAGGTTGGAAGAAAAAAAAAAGCGAGTATTTCTAATACAAAAATATCCAGTACCCAACAAGGTGAAATTCATGATGCCTGGCAGCCCATCAAAAATGACCAAGCATGCAAAGAGGGAGGAAAATATAACCTACAACAAGGAGAAAAATCAAGTGATCCAGAAATGACAAATATGCTAGAATTAGTAGACAAGGACATTACAGTAATTGTTTTAACTTTACATATTATATTCATGGCTCAAGAAACTATAGGAAGGATTAAGTCTATTAAACACATGCAGATATAAAAAAGACGCAATCTGAACTTCTAGAAATGAAAGCCAAAATATCTGAGATGAAAAATACCCACTAGGTGTGATTAATAGCAGATTAGAAGTTGCAAAAGAAAAGATCAGTTAACTTGAAGACAAAACAATAGAAAATATCCAACATGAAAAATACAGAGAAAAAAGGCTGAAATAAATGAACTAATCAGTGAGCCACGGGACAACTTCAAGAGGCCTAATATTCATGTAACTAAAGTCACCAGAGGACAGAAGAAACAGAAAAATAGAAAAAATGTCTGAAGAAACTACTGTCAAAGTTTTTCCAAATTTGATGAAAGAAATAGTCTTTTCAATAAACTGAGCTGGAAAAATTGAATATTCATATGCAAAAGATAACTTTGATCCTTTCCTCACATCCTATATAAAAATTAACATACAGTACATGTATCATAGACTCAGATGTACAGCACAGATAGAACTGTAAAACTTGTAGGAAAAAAAATTGGAGAAAATCTTCATGACCTTAGGTTATACAAAGACTTCTTAAATAAAGCCACAAAAGGATGACTCAAAGAAAAAAAATGATAAATTGGATTTCATAAAAATTCAGAACTTCTGCTCTTTGAATGACATTGTTAAGAGAATGAAAAGACAAGATAGAGACTGGAAGAAAGTCTTGGCAAATCCCAATTCTGATGAAGCACTTGTATCATGAATACATGAAGAATACTCAAAACTAAGAAAAACAATTCAACAAAAAATGGACAAAAGATTTGAAGACACTTCACCAAGGTGCACATAAGTATGGCAAATAAACACATAAAAATATGTTCAATATTATTAGTTATTAGGAAAATGCAAATTAAAATCACAATGAGATACCACTACACACTATTAGAATGGCTAAAATTTTAAAGACTGGCCATACCACATGTTGTTCAAAATGCAGAGTAATTGGAACTTTCATACAATGTTGGTGGAAATTTAAGTTGGTATACTAACTTTTGAAAATAGTTTAGTCATTTCTTCAGAAGTTCAACATATACCTACCATATGACTCAATCCTTCAACCCCTGGTATATACTCAAGAGACTTAAATGTAAATGTCCATAGCAGCTTTATTTGTAAAAGCCCCAAACTGGCAACAAAAAAAATGTTCATCAGCCAGGTAATGGATAAACAAACTGTGCTACAGCCATGCAATGGAATATTACTTGTCAATAAAAATAAATGAACTATCAATACACATAACATGAATGAATCCCCAAACAACTATGCTAAGGGAAGCTAAACAAATGAATCAAACAATATCCAAAAAATACATGTATTCCATTTATATAAAAATATGGAAAATGCAAAATAATTTAAAGTGACAAATCAGAGCAGTAGCTGCCTGGAGTCAGGGGTGGGAGAGAAAAAGGGAGCAGGAGGGAAGAATGAGAAGTGGACACAAA